TCATCCCCGGGTCGAAGAGACCGGGCTGACCGAGCACAAATATGAGAAATGATCATTTCCAGTGATCACAAAATTCCCGTTGGAGTCCCAGAAGGGTTAACGAGTCGTGGCGATGGGGCTCGTCTGGGGCGAAAGCTGTAGTTTACGGTGTTTAACACCCTCCCGGCGCGCGCGCTCTTTTTCTCGCCACCTGGTGGTGCCGTGTACGCCCCTCCCCACAAAGTTTGATATTTTGTGCTCACCTCCACCCCCCCTTGTGAAATATTGGGGTTTTAAGGGCGTACCCTTACCCCCGGGGCTCATTCGGTCGAAAAGACAGCTGTTTGTGAAATTGCAGATGCGGCGCAACCTCCATTCCTGTTCGTATCTCGCCGCCAAATTGTCGGATGAGGCTCATTTTTTATCTGGAAGATGCGGACTCATCACCTCGTCAATCCTACCCAGTATGAAAACTAGAATTGAAGATGCTGAATTTTTAGGCTGAATCTTGATACTGAGATGCGGCGTAACCTCCTTTTGTGCAATATCTCGCCGCCAAATTGTCGGATGAGGCTCATTTTTTCTTGAACGATGCGGACTGAGGGTGGGTCCTACGTAATTTTTGGGAAAGTCGAACATCGAACATCGAACAAGCGGATAGTTAGATGTTCGACTCTTTGGGTCCTTTGTAATTTGTCAAAATGGGCAAAACAAAACACGAACACACACAAACACACGCACATCGGATTCACACATCGGGTTGAAAGGGCCAAAAGAGAGCACGGAACAACAACAACACCAGAGACGGAGAGAGCCCTCTCACGCACATTTCAGGGCACTTGTCCGACAACAACTTTGCACACAGAGAAGTGACAGCCATGGAAAGGACATCCCCACGAGCTGTGTCCTATGGTCCTTCTCACTGGCCAAGCGGTTGGGGCTCGGAGGCTTTCGTTGCCCTGAGAAAAAAAAATCGGATCGCCGGCACGGGCGCTGTTGCTGTAATTTTGTGTCCATTCCGCAATAACACATCTTTCCCGTTTTCGTTTTCGGGGCCAACTTTGCACACAGAGATGCGACGGGCATGGTGAAGCCACCCTTTCGATCTGTGTCTTTTTCATCTTCTAGGATTGGCGTTGTCTGTGCTTTAAGCGCACGAGAGGATGTGCACGGGAAGAGAACTGGGTGTGAGTACGGTTGTGCTTTTTGTTTGCACGGGTGTTCTTTCTTCGTGATGTGAAGTTTCGGCCCAAATAGACCACAGGACTGTAGGTTAGGTGTAGGTTTTCGTGTTTTTGAGAAAGATGTCCTCCTTTTTTGGTGAATCGCCCCTGGAAGATCCGGCGAGCAAAAACTCGAACACCCTGACATCTCTCCGGTCTTTTCAACCTTCCTGGCCAATCACATGATTACGCCGCTTGTTCGATGTTCGATGTTCGAGTCCAAAAAAATTACGTAGGACCCACCCTGATCACCCCGTCAATCCTACCGAGTACGAAAACTTAAATTGAAGATGCTGATTTTTAAAGGTCAATTTAGTGTTTCGGGTGTGAAGTATAGACGTTTGTCTGTACAAAACCTGACCATTTCGTCCGCTGGCTTTGAAATTGGGCACAGAGATGCGGCTGATCCATGCCGATTTTTTGGCGGCAAAACGAAGGCAATCGAAGTTGATGCCGAATTTTGAAGCCCGATTGAAAATTCACAGCAGTGTATGTACACTTTTAACTGCTGTGCGCGGCGACGTTACTCACAGTAAGCCTAGAAATCTGCCAAAAAAATTTCGTGTTGAAATCGAAGCATATCTGGATTTTTAAAGCTCTAAAAACTGACTTACACGCAGCCCGCAGACACGCCTCGTTGCTTCACTTTCGCCAAACTCAGAGCTTATCGCATGCAGCTTACAGGGGGTGCTGATTCGGGACGAGCATTCAGTCATTTTCTGTAGTTGATTCACCCCCATGTATTTTTTTGTGTTGGGTGTTTTGAGCACATAGCAGGGGGTGTGCATTCGGGCCGTGATTCGGGTCGTTTTTTGACCTGAATAAACGTATAGGATTAAGGCTGGATTGATTCGGGTCTGATTCGGTTCATAGTATTTTCAAGTACTTGCCCCGTATCAAGTCCCGAGTGGGATTGGTGCAAAAACAGTTATACATGTGGAATAATACTCCTCTCGATCGACCTCTTGCCTCTCTCCCCTGTTCTCCCTCTCTCTCTACTTGCCAGCCCGTTGTGCTGTTTCCGCGTTTTTTGGACACATCACACACATCCATGCGTGCGATGTGGAGGCGTCACCCCAAACGGCAAGTCTGCATGGTTGGCACCTTCGTGCTGGCACAAGTCTTCGTGCTTCGCTATGGTATCCGTGCCTTGAAGGACTCGTCCTCTGGCGCAGGAGCAGGCGGAGCAGCAGCAGCAGCGGCAGTAGGAGCATCAAGAGCACCAGCACCAGCAGCAGCAGCACTTCCAGGCACACCTTCTTGCGATTGGAAAGAAGGCGGGCCGGAAATCTTTGTGATTAATGTCGACGTGAGACCAAAAAAACCTCCACGGGGTGAGTACCGAACGACGCGACCGCCTACGGATGCAACGATCGACCGGTAGTTCTGGTAGCGACCTCCTTCGTCCAAGGAGCGCACAAATGAAACCTATCTATGCACATCGACAAAACGGCGGCACCCAATCTGGCGCACGCACGCCCATTAACCGAATGGGTGTCTGCGCGCGTGGCGCAACCCTCGGATAAGCCTGATGATGTTTTGTCACTCGCTCCAACACACTTGGTAATTTATTTATTCTGTCACAGTAGGGCACTGACGATGCATCGATCTTGGAGCGAAGCTGATTTAGGGGTTTCGCTCCGTAGTCCCGTACGATCTACCCTTACCCCATCTTGAGGTATTTTGCGCCGTGACCCTGGGATTTGTTTTTTAAGTTCAGACGGAGAAATGATATCGTTTGTCGTGTCCTGTGGCGGTCCATACATATGTACCCCGAAACACACCGGACAATCCGAGCGAGAGGCGATATCATCCGCTGCGAGCCATTTATTGCAATTTATTGCCGGCCTACCCGTCCCATAGGAGTACTAAGGGGGCAAAAGAGGGTATGTGAGTGGAGTGTTTCCCCCATTTGTTAGGTCTTCAGCCATCATACGGGAGGGGGAAAGGGGACAGTTGACGTAGCTCAATCAGGTCTAATTTCGGATGCTAAATTAGAAGGGTAAAATAAAGGATGATAGCTGTATATTCGGTGCTACCATCTATTGCCCCACCGTCGGTCCTGCGGTGCTTGCCCTCCTTTCGTCATCAATTAATTTAGTCAAAGTCATGTACCCACGATATGGTCTCTGTCCATCGAAAGAAACTTCCCTTTGCCGGACAGGGTTCGCACTTTCGAAGCACCACTTACCGAACGCCCCCCTAAACGGTCAATTGACAATAATAGCAACCATACCGTCTAGCCTTTCCCACAAACGTGCCAAGCCCAAACCGAAAGGTGGGGTTTTCAACTGACACTCGTCGACATGTCCTGGGGGGGGCAAAATACCATTCAGTCCGGCTGGAGTGGTCGTCTGTATCCCACTTAGTTCACATGTGGAAAATAAACCTTTACAATATATCTACTCCGATGGGCCAAGCTGACCGACCACACATTCCGAGGGTAGCTCAAGGAAAATTGTGGTGGATTGATAGTTGACCCAGTATCCACTCAAGCAAAATGTGTATCACCTCACCCTTAATACTTGTCTCATGCGAACAGTTTCGTATGTTGATGGTTCGCGAAAGGAGCCTGGGATTCATGTCGTCGTGCCTGCCAAAGACTTCAGAAGCTGTGATTGTCATTTGAAGGAGTCCCTGGCGTTGCCATTCAAGCACATGCTAGAAACTAAGTACACGACTTTGTGTTCCTTGTACCGCCGCCCACGCGCAATCCTAACCAGAACTAGGAAAATGACACCACGACCATGCGGCAACGTCAAAACTCGGGTCGAGGCCGTGTAGTATCGAGTTAAGGAGGATCCGCATGGTGGGGCCCTTTCACAGCGTTCATACATACTATTTCACATCTAGAGAATACGGAAATGGTCAGGAGCACGCCCACAAAAATGAGGAATCCTCTCCCCACTGTTGGTGCAGCGGATCATTGGTACCACGTTACGGAGGCCTCGGCGAGTCGGCGTGCGGAGTTGATGAAGACCGTCAACGAGACGAGTGAAACCTTGTATTTGCAGGTGCGATTTCTGGCTGTCCACTTGCTGTTGTTGATGGACTGCATGCCTTAATTGGTGTCGTTCGATGGGCGATGGGTATGTACCTTGTGTATCGAGCCTCTCTTGTTGCCCGTTAGCTCACACTCTTTGAAACCCTCAATAATCAAACGTGGTTTCAAAGAGCGCAACCTGCCTTGTTTTTTCCATGTTCAATATCAAACGCCCAACCTTGGAGAACAGATTATAAAACATTATGCATTCAGAGTGGTTAATCTTATCTGGACCTTCAGGCATCATGTCTTGTGCCGTGGGAGACGTTTTAGACCAATCAGCCCGCGGCATAATACGTACTTGCGCTCACTCGTAATCGCTCAACCCCGTTGTTGTTGCACGCGGTCGAAAAGGTGCTCGATCCTACCTGGATGGCCGGCACCTCTCCCATGACCCGACTCTTCCTGGCGGCCACCTTTGCCAACGCCGGCACGAAAAAAGTCTACTTCGTTGACACGAATCGAACAAGGTTTGGGTATGGTACGAGTAATATCACAACAGGACGACCAGAAAGTCCAAGTCCTCCGTCCTTCAGCGTTCAAAGCAACAGCGCCAGCCTCACACCAGCCGACAAGGACAGGAACAAGACCGATGTCGACCAAAGCGCGCCGGTAGGGGCACAAGCTGAAGAGTTGCCAACGGCAAACGGGGAGCCAGTTCCGGGGCAGGTGGGACTGCTGGAGTTCCTACCATGCGGTCGAGGAAACGAGATCACACTGTCCTCGGCATCTGCTATTTCCGAACGACAGAACGTCTCAACAGACGCCGGAACGCCGATATCAAACGATGATGGGGAAGGGTTGTTTGGGGGCGGAGAGGACACAGATGGTCGCGGTGAGTGCGACACCCCGCGGGAACCGGTTTGCGTGAAGTACCTCAACACCGTGGGCCGAAAAAAGGTCAGCACAGAGCACTGGTTTCCAAGCCCGGAGGATGCTCGTTCATTTCGAACGGCGATCAACACGTTCTGTCCCATGCCGTTTCTTAGAGGCGCGGAGGAAGCAGGGGCGGGAGGAGACAGACACCGGCGGGTCGAAGGAGATGGCTGGGAAGGGGGAGGGGAAGGTGGTGTTCGGCGTCTTTTGCTCTACCAGCGTGATCAGTGCCGAAGGATCAAGAACGCGGCACAGGTATGGCGGAGAGCGAGGTCGGGGTCCATACTGTTTGTTCAAAGCAAGAGATCGGTCGGTGTGCATTTGCTTTATATCCGCGCTGTGACCCACGCATGACATGATTTGACTCTGGTCGTCTACGGCGTAGGTACAGCACTCATTTTTCTCTTTGTCCATACCGGCATCCTCCGGTCGCGCCGTCTACAGCGAGCAGGAGAGTCCCTTCGGGTGCAATAGGGATTTTTCATTTGCAGATATACAGATCATGGCTCGTGAGTACTTAAACTTCGGCTTCACTGTTGACGAGGGAAAGGGGCAGGTAAACCTATGTCGCGAGAAAAATAGCAGGAGGAAGGTGGGGTAGGCGCGGACAAAAGAAGAAAATTACCGGGCGTGGGAACCTCCTCCTGCAACGCCCCGGATGGTACGCCACTAGGACCGTGCACCGCAATTTGCATGTTGTATGTACACGAACACCGAATCGTTTGAAATGTGGGCCGAAGAGTTGAGGCAGGATACACCCAAGGCCTCATAGTGGACGGGAAGGAAGAATATCACACATATGTACACACAAACAATCCCAAAATGTCCGTTGTTTTTTTTTTTGCAACTGTAGCTTATTGGTACCACAGGGCATGATGCGCTGGCTGGGTGGCTGGAAACGTTGCTCTGTTGCCATCTCTCCCTCCCGCATTTTTCTGCTTCCTTCCACTCGAAGAGCCCGGGAACTTAACTGCTGTTGTTATGTATATACACTTGGGTTGACCTCATACCACGCATGCATGCATGTGTAGCATAGTGCACTACCACCTGCCCAGAAAAACGTGATCTTGGTCTGTTGCAACACCTTAACCCCTCGTGACCACCCCGGGGTTGCCGTTATTTCTCTTGCCTGATCCATTTTCGATGTGATGTAGGAGACGGAACCCGGGCGGGAAATATTTGTATGTGTGTCGCATCCGATCATATGGTAGCTCCAACGTCCAGCCATTACCCATTGCCAACGTGCGGAAGACCTCTGACCTTGAAGACCCCAACCAGACTGGCGTTGGCCCACCCCCACCCACCCCCTCCGGGTTACCCCC